TTAAAAAACCTGAAGGACAAGTTGCTAGATGCATAGAAAGACTGCAACCATACAACTTCGAGATAGTGCATCGAAGGGGACGTCTCCATAGCAACGCAGACATTCTTTCTAGGCGACCGTGTTTAGAACAACAATGCCGGTACTGTAAAAGGCTTGAAGAACGAGAAGAGCTGGTTGAAGAAGTTAGTCTTCAGGCGACCACTATCAAACCATAGGATGACGAAGACGGAATGACCCTTGAAAGCCTAAGAAAGACTCAAAATAAAGACAATGACTTGAAGGTTGTCCGAGAATGGCTCAAAAATGGAGTCAGACCTACATGGCAAGATATAGCCAAATATAGCCAAATATATTAAAGGGTACTGGACTCAGTGGGATTCCTTGTATCTTCACGATGGCCTATTGCACCGTAAGTGGGAGAGCCCCGATGGAGTACTTGTAGTCCGCCAAGTGATACTGCCGAAATCACAGGTCAGAAGTATGTTGGTGGATCTTCATAGCAGCCGTTCAGGAGGACACTTTGGTACTAAAAGGACACTTGCACGAGTTCGGGAAAGATTTTATTGGGTCAATTGCCGACGGGATGTAGAATATTGGTGTAAGGAATTTGACCTTTGTAATGGCAGAAAAGGGCCCAAAACAAGAAGTCAAGGTAAAATGGCAGAATACCTTTCCAGAGAGCCCTTCGAATGAATCGCCATAGATATCCTCGGACCACTTCCCTTAACGGAAAGGGGAAACAAATACTTGATGGTTGTTATGGACTATTTTTCAAAGTGGCCCGAAATAGTGTCTGTTCAAATCAGGAAGCGACGACAGTGGCGGAAGCATTTATGACGAACGTCATTGCGAGACACGGAGTCCCCCTGGAATTACATTCTGACCAAGGACGAAATTTTGAATCCGAATTATGGCAAATTGATGAAACTATTAGGCATCAGAAAAACACGCACTACGCTTCTCCACCCACAGTCCGACGGAATGGTAAAAAGACACAATAGAACGATATGCCAGTATCTTTCAATGTTCGTCTCTGATAATTAGAAGGACTGGGACACTTTAATTCCTCTATTTCTGCTAGCCTACCGAAGTTCTGAACATAAAACAACCAGTTATACTCCATCCATAATGATTACTGGAAGGGAGATGAAATTTCCATATGATCTTCTTTTTGGAAGGCAGCCTCCTGGTGACGAAAAGGGCCGTACACCTTCCACGTAGATACACAACTTAAGAGAAAGATTAGAGAAGGTATACGAATTCGCTCGGCAACGTTTGAAAGTTAGTAGCGATAAAGCAAAAGCTAGAGTCGACATGCATGCCACAGGGACACATTTTGAGAGAGGCGATCCAGTATGGCTGTACAATCCCAAACGCCGAAAAGGACTTTGTCAGAAACTGCAACGGAACTGGGAAAGCCTCTACACCGTCCTCAAGAAAATTAACGACCCAAGATAGTTCACGTTGAAAAGTTAGCGCCATATCGTGGTCCAGACCCTCCCTGTTTGCACCAAATAGGTCCCAGTAATCAAGTTATTCAGAGCAAATAACTAGAGAGGAGGGAGCAATGTTACGCAGCACCCTGCAGAAGCCTGCGGCTATTATAGGAAACATACAAATGGAAAAAGAAGTGGAATGTTACTTATCCCCCTACAGTGTGCTGCGGTCGTAATGAGTAAAAGTCCAAGTAAAAGAAAATAGAATAGTCCAGAAATGTCTGGAAATGTCATTACCCGTCAAGAATATTCTAGACGACAGTTCGAGAAGGTTCGAGAAGGGTCAAGCAAGCTATATAAGGATGATTCTGGGTCAGTTTTCAGTTTTATGATAGACGTTACATGTTAATGTTATCAGTTGTATCGTTATTGTGAAAGTTGAGTTGAAATAAATTGAGATACCAAAAACCTGCCTAACAATATATATTAATAGTATGTAAGTTTTTGTGTGATAATTTTAAAATATTTTGTGCTCTAATATAGAAAGTAAAATGTAAAATTTTTTGCCTGACAATGTGTACGATATATCTCACGAATTAAATATATATTTTCTGTATTCATCCCATTCTATAGGTAAATTGGTTAAGTGGTGACCTAAAAAAATAAATAATAAATAAATTTCATGGGAATTTAGTAGCATTAATGTTTATTTCATTTTTTTTTTGCTTCATAAATAGCTTACTTCTACTCACATATATTATATCTAGGCACAACCAATAACTATGTTTTGATTACATTAATTATTAATTTTATTATAAAAAATGTACATTTAATATTATTACTACTAGAAATAAATTATTGTTATTTGTTTTTATTTTTCTTTTATTTACTCTATATAAAAAAGATTTCAGTTTCTAAATGATCTACTTGAACTAAACAAAAATAATATGTGACCACAAATTCAGTTGAAAGCATACAGTTTCAAAACATATATCTACAATAAAAAAGTATTCAATCCTAAACGAACATATAGTCATTTCCAATTAAAGACGTTTACAATACAGTGTATAACGAAAGCTTAACATAAATAGAAAAAGAACATTGTTAAATAAATTTGTTTATTAATCATGCGAATCAATTATCTGAATTATTAGTTATTGTGAAATTACAGTGCATAAATGGTAGACATGAATACGAACCCTTTGAAACCGTACGCCATTGAGAATGGAGTACCTACCCCTCTCCCCTCACGCGAAAAGTAATGACCCTGCTTATACATAACAAAATGCATTGAATGCCATCTCTAGTCTTATATGCTCTAAGGTAAAAGCTTAATTAGCGTTCGTTTTTAGGACTGCATTTCGAGTAATTATGCCGATTCGCCTCCTTCTACCTAGTCTTCATAGTCTTGCTCACAATCCTACTTGTCAAATTCATAAATATTTCATTAAAATGGAAATACGTCAGAATTAGAGGATAAAAGCTCAAATATTTAATTTACAGATGAAATAGTCATGCCAAGCATTAAATTTTAAATCTTTATTCTTTTATTTTTATTTTACGCTGCCATTCAAGGTTTCTTGTCTTTTGAACGTGGCGTCTACTTCTGAGTAAGATGCAAATTCTTTGTTATCTACAATAATGTCATTAAAACCTTTATGATTGATATTCTTTTAAAAACGGAATTTAGTTTTTCCAAACTTCGCAAATGTGCGAAATATAGAAATTCTTAGTTTGTAAAATATACATATTTGGTACAAGTAAAAGAAATAAATTCATTATTTTGGAACTAGATGACTGGGGAGAGTAGCCGCGAGATTAGTTTGCAGTAGGACCTTCAAATGGTGGCACAATAAGCCGCAGGCTGCTGTGCTGGAATGCTTCAAATGCATTAGGGTGATATAGTCTGAAGGGTGGAACACAGAAAACAAACAAAACTCGTTGTCTAGAAAAAATCCTCGAACACGTCGATTTTTATTTTCAAATGCACATTCTGTTCGATATTCACTTTATTCGTGACATCATCTGTTTGAGTGTACTTTAAAAGGTGTCGTTTTTTTTTTACTTTAGGGAATATCTGTGTTATTAACGATTGAAAAAAAATCATCAAATAAAAGTTATTTGCGATGTCATTGTCTATAATTATTGTTCTATATATCATTTCTCTTAAGAAAAAGTGTAAAATTTAATGTTTCAGTATTTTCATTGGCAATGAATATATATATATATATATATATAAAAAGGTTTCCAGTAAGATATGTATGAAAAATGTATGCGAAAATAGTTATTTTTGTACTAAGTGCGTAAAGTGAGTGTTTTTAAATGGCACATGAGAGTTTATAGTACCTAATATATAATACCTATTAAGTATGAGAGTCGTATCTGCATTTTCAAAAGTTTCAAGAAAATCAGGAAAAAGTGTTAATATTTTTGCCATCGTAAGTATTATTATTATTCTAGAAATCAAAATTAACAAGTTGTATAATATTTTTTTCATAGAATTTGAATTATACCGGGTGTTCAACTTAAAGCGTTACAGCTATATACCGCTTTATATAAAAAAAAACGTTTCAGACGAAAGTTTTATACTTTTGTGGGGAAAAACTTTTAGCTAAAATCGTTTTTTATAGCTAACCATAATATGGCCAACTTTTTTTTCGCGTAGCAACATTTTCAAGTAGCTGTTACTCAAAAACTAAAAGTCCAATAAAAAAAATATTTCCTTCAAAAGTTTCTTATTTTTTTATGTACTTTAAGAATATGTAAGAAAAAATGGGATTCCAATTTAAAAAAACAAAGTCCACCTCGATATGGCCATATTATGGCCAACTACAAAAAAATAAATTTAGCCAAAATATTTCCTCCAAAAAACTATAAAACTTTTGTCTGAAACTTTTTTTTCTAAAATGCATATTTTCGGCGGTATTTGACTGTAACTTTTTAAAATGAACACCCGGTATATATATTTTTTGCAAATTTAGAGCTTAATGATGTTTTTGTTAGTTACGACAAATTCGTTTAACAATGAGCAACTAAAATATTAACATGATTAGTCGTAAGTGACCATCTACTGTACAGAAAAACTACAATACTTCGAGTAAAATATTCATTATAACTTATAACATCAGTTTTTTCAAATAGGGGTCTTTGAAATGAGATATGTTTAATTCCCAGGAGCCAAAAAACTAATAAACTACTCTTTGGAACTTAAGCAACATTTTCGATATTTAACTAATACATTTCTAATTTTAACTAAAAACAAAAACACTTATGCCTAATAAATTCACAGCAATATTATGTCAACTGAGATTTTTATTAATTTACTCGTCTTCTTGTACAGGATTTTCGGAAACAGGCAAATTATTCCAATAGTTTATTCTAGTTATGGAAATAATTCCACTAATTCAGTTTATAAGAGTGTATTTTCTAGCTTGACTTATGCCACGACAGACAGTCTTGCATTTAGGCTTTTCCAAACCATTTTTTTGGTGTTTTGCTACTAAAAAATTTAATATTGTTGCCTCTTGTTGATCAAATTTGCATTTGTAGGATAATAACTGCTTTTCATTTAAAATTAACCTGCACCATATCACTTAAATATGACAGAGGATTTATTCTGCTTAATTTATATTGAGAACTCTTGTCTTCCCAATTAAAAAAATTGTTAATTTTCATTTCAATCAATTTCACTTTCGTCGAGTTCGCTTTTTGAACGGCATCTTTGTAATCTCCGAAATCATATACTTTTCTCATTTGCTTCAAGGACTTCTCTACCTGGTGATGGAAATAATCGGCTGACATGATCGTATGCCCCGGTTCATATTGTTTCAGAGTTAGAGAGTTTAAAGCGACGTCAGCAGAATTTGCTAGATATACGCAGAAACTAAAGAAGGCCCAGTTTTTATTTTGGGCTGAACAGTTGGCCAACCACAAAATAATATTTTCAGCATCTCTATTATCCTGAAAAAAACACAGAAAGCACTAATGATGACTTCTTTGGATCGTCCTGACAATGCTTCGTACCAAATTACTGCCGTGAGAAATTGTTTGTATTTTGTCTTATTGGAACAGTACTTTCACTGAATGCAATGATACGAGGTACGAAAATCACCTCCTTGAACATTTCGCACCGTGGAAGCATAATAAACCTAAAAAAAATTAGCAGGAAAAAATAAATATACCTTAACTTCTGAAGATCTGATGAATATGCCAGTATGTTGGGATTATCAGCTTTAGCGTCAATTTGATATTGTTGTCAAGCTGATTTGCTATTCCAATATGTTTATTCTATGATTAACAGTCGGCGCAGTCATTTTCCAAATTCTTAGAGTGATTGGTGCTGCTTTCATGATTTTTGAATGCTGCACAAGTGAAGCACTCCTCGTGTCCAAGTGCAGCGAATAAAATATTCATTTAACTCACGAAATCTCTATATAAATAATAGGAAAATTAATAGTTGGATGTTTTACTATGGCAACATCACTAGGAATGTATCTCCTATTAGGAGCATGCTCCCTCCTGTAATGAGAAATTGACAGGTTAAAAGACTCTATATGCTGTCTGATCTATCATTTTCGATGAACTAGCGCTACCTCGTCAAGATTTTTCTGCCTTTAACTGTTGCACTTCGAATAAGTCGATCATTGTTAGGCAAATATCCAAGAGTTGCCAAGTAAAATATTTTGTATACTTTCTGTTTGCATTTTTCCATTCTGTTATATTTAACACAAAAATGTTTTGCTCTAAATTATTTTAATTGTCAGGAATTCAAATTTATATTTGCACGTTGTTCTTCTGAAATTTTCTTGGTACAGCATTTCTTGCACTTGTCTCCACATGGATCTTTCAATAAATGCTTATTTTTCTTATCTTCGACTATTTGCTTTTTTCTGCTTTGTAAAGACTATGAAGACTAGAGACAAGGAGACGAATCGGCATGCTCAAAATACGGTCCCAAAAACGCATGCTAATTGAGCTTCTATATTTAACCGCATGGGCGCTGGTACTGCATACGCTGTTCAAAATTCATGACTTCTTATGGGGATTATACATAGTTTTGTCAAAATAATAAAAATAAACTTGTTTATAGCTAAATAAAGCACATAACATACTGTTGTATTTATTTCTAAAAAAGTCTTGCATGTTTTAATTGATAAATTATTTGATTTTATCTATATAAAATACAAATTAGGTACGTATGACCAAATTCTAAAAGGTTTCTTAAGTGCTGAAATTTGATAAGTACAATTTTGTGGCAAAATTTTTTTTGAATTGAACTAATATATAGTTTTAAGAGTAAAATAAAACACAGTGAACAGCTTTTGTATTGTTGTAATCTAAGTATAAAGAGAGATTTGGGAATGTACATGGTATTACCTCATCCTTTAATTTTAGCTTTCCCCTTTTTATTTTGCTAACAGTACCATCAGTAAAAATAGTCTCATAATATTTGATAATATCTTCTAAAAAATGTAGAACTGAATCATCTCTAGAAAGTGCTTTATCGGCAGGAGGAACGATATATATGCTGTCACTGTTCTAAACATTTAGTATCCTATATATAACATTTACAATGACACAATTGGGGTCCAAAACAAAAATAACAGTAGCAACTCTTTATCTAACATTAAAACTCTATAAAAAATAAATTTTCTTTTCTAGTAAGTTAAATTTATTACATAATTATTGTTGTTTGTAAGTCAGCATCTATAACTGTAAAATTTTATATTATAGAAACTTGTAATAAGATGAACTACACTTCGTAAGATACATATTGTGACTAGTTTACATTAAATATTATATTTAGACATGAATACATTATTTTACCTACATTAGAAGATATAAAAAGACATTGAATTGATTTCTTCTTGTGTTTTCTTTAGTTTTTATTTGATTTTTATCCTGTTTTACAATCTGAAACGACGTAAATCTTGCTTTGATGTTTTTTGTCACTCATGTTACTTGTACTCAGGTACTTTTTTTCACATTATTTTGATTTTTTTCACCAATTTTTAAAAAAAAATACTTCATTTTACATTGACTTACATAGAAAATTGACTACGCTGTCATTAGACATGCCAACTAGAGTCAATTTCGCGAACTTTATAAAAAGAAGGATGGAAATTTGAAATTTGACCATTGCCGATTCGCATCCTTCTCTCTAGTCTTCATAGTAAAGACGTACTGAATCTTCTGCGTTTTCGAAACTGTCCTGTTTTTGTATATAAAATGGCTTCTCGGTTTTCGGATTGCTCAATTGCAACATCAATCACGTTATCGACAATTTCGGAAACCAAAGCAATAACATTATTATTATCATTGTTTGAATATCGCGTTTCTGGGATGAATTGCAACATTTTCATGGATAATAATCGAAGGAAGTTCAGGTTCCATTTCTTCTTCAACTGCTTCTAAACTTGATGTGTCAGACGATGGGGATCTCAAAATCTTATTCTCTTTGTTTTTCCTTTGTTTTTTTATTATTTAAAATGCAACAAAGAATTAATAGGGCATCATAAAAAGAACATGCATGCCAAACATAATGTATTTGAATTATTTGATTCAGACTGATCTAAAAAAAATACTTATTATTTTTTATTGTTTTTTTTTTGTTTCCGTACGTTAAATATAATTTAAAAATGTTTCTATTCATTGTTTATTTTCTAATTTGGGTAGAAACATTTTTATTTTTCGTTTCTTGTATACTGTTTTTTTTTTATTTACTACACTGCAAATTATAATTATTTCTCCCTGTATTAAAATCTACTTTTGAGATCTACGTTTTTTTTTTACTCATATTGTTCCAGAAAATGTTCATCTGGCAACACTGTCCAGGATAATTACCATTTATATAAAATATCGACTAATCACTTTGAAATACAAGCGATGACTAAGCGAGACCGATTTATTTGTGGTCCACTTCTGTCTCTCGGACGTGTCGCGCCTTGCGAAATGTGTTTCATATAATTGCATGTGTTCAGACGTGCAGATACCGTTCTTGGTCACTTTTGCTGTCGCGTCTGCCGTCGCGTCTGCTGTCGTATGTCGTCTGTCGTCTGTCACGCGTTCCGAAATGCTACCTTAAAAATTACGATCTAACTTAGCTTTATCCAATAAAATATTAAGTAATAAAAAAGTTGCAGGGTGTCAAAGTTGAAATATCTTTTTGATTTTGGTAATATTTCCACAATTTTTTTGTTCAATTTTGAAGCACTTTTTACGACTCTGTACTTTTTGTTAATATTTTTATTTTACAAAAAGTTAAAACAATTTTACATAATAATGACTCTGCCAGATTCGGCAACATTTTATACACAGATTGTGAAATTATTACCAAAAAAGCAAAATAATTATTTCAAATTTGACACCTTGAACTTTTTAATTTTTAGTATTTTATTAAAGAAAGTAAAATCATATTTTTCAAAACTAACACTACCATTATGCTATGGGCCGTTATTTACGGATTACTCGGTGTTTATTTGATATTCAGTTAACATAATATCGCTACTGGCGAACTAACTCTTAAAACAAACGGTAACTCGTCACGGTAATACCTCAGAGGTGGTTTGGAAATGTACCAAGAATAACAGACCTCATTTTAATTGAAAAATTTGAAAATCATTTTTGTATTAAATTAAATTAAAATGCATATTTGTCGTATACCTGTAAAACATTAAAATTGCCCGCCACTGGAAATATTTCCTCCTACCCCCTAAGCTCCGAAAATCTCATTAAATTTTGCAACGATTACATATGTCATTTCACTACACTATTTTTGAAATTTTCCTACTGTCTATTATTTTTAAACATTTACAGGGGTGATACCATAAGTTGTAGAAAATAACTGGAAAAAGCCTATAATAACTAGATTGGAAAGTCATGTGTTGGTACCATCAGATTTTTTATGTTTTTACCTTGAAATTTATTTTTTTTTCTACTACTGTATTATAATATTAATTTATTAACCAAATTAAACAACTCCAAATAATGGGTTAGTGTTGTATTCAACCAACTATTAAATTTGCAGTTTAAAACGATACATTTCGTGCTTTAAGTAATTTAATTCATGTTGCACAGTATCAAACTTTAATATGAATGTTAAACATTACATTATATTATTTAGTAGACATGTGTTGATGATAAACTATTTAAATTATAAATAAAGATAGTCACTAACATTACGTATTTAAAGTTTTACAAGCGTGACTAAATTTTTAAACTATAAATTTTCTATGCTAGTTGTTACTGTTTAAATAAAGCTGTTAAAAGATGCGTTTATCTCATATGTAGGTAGTTGTTTGTTTTATTTTGTATTAAACACACATTTGATTATATATGAATATTGTAAATATTTTTGAGAGTATGCATCACTTTATTTATTTTCTTTAAATGAGTGTATCTTTAAATAAACAAAATTGTTCAAATTTTTGAGACAGGTATGTAATTGTTGGTTGTGATGTTATTCTCTTTTTTAACATATACATTATCTCTGTAAAATAGGCCGTTATGAAGAAATTGAAAAAGTACAAAATTCTAATTTTTTCAATATTTTCGTTGGCAATTAAGATTTAAAATTTAAAATTTATAAAATTCGTGTTAAATTTTTTTCATTAATAAATACTTTAAAAACGCTAGAAAAGAATAAAACCTCAAATCAATATTACATCAATTTTATTATAAAAAATACAGGAGCGACTAGTTTCGACCTCACAGGGCCATCCTTATTTAAAAGGTAGGAACAATATAAATAAGGTTGGTCACTGATTAAATTAAATAGTTGACAAAATGTATAAATCACTAAAAATCCATAGCGTTACAGTAATATAGAACAAAAGATGTGAAACACGAAAATTATCGATGGGTATTGCAAACTTAATTTAAACTACTACTAAGAAACATGTGTGGATACGAGAATTAAGATGAAGGAGATGGGAGAAAATGTATTTCAGCTTTTCGGGACT